AAGCCATGGCTGTTGTATGATATCGGGGCACTTGATATTGGACCCCTTGCGAACCGTACTTTTTCAACGGATGTCAGCATGGATGATGGTTTTTTGATGAAATAGCGTGCTCGCATAGTATCATCATTTGACGAGGGTGAGGGGATGCCGATACCGGCCTGGCTGGGATGTTCCGTGTTCGTGCTTACAATAAACGATGGGGCATACTAGCAAACCGATTGCATTTCCCCAGGGGGGATCGATATTCCGGGTGGGGGTGGGGGTGGGGGTGGTAGATCCGACTTCATGTGTAAGAGAAGAAATTCACCCTTCCGAGGTTGAAGTTGTCAATTCCATCTCTCGCGCAATCCTCCCACCCGACCATCTGCAAATTGGTCCCATATGGCGGCTCGGCGCTGGCTGGCACATCGCTGCCGCCGCGCTAGCGCGACCTGGCCCGTGCGCAAGCGGCCTGTTGAGTCTGGCGCGACCGACGCGGCCGCGGTGGCGCTGACCGCTGGGACTTCCTAGCGCGTCTCGCAGGCCACGCTGACGCGCGGGCAATTCAGTGCGAGTCGGTGGCCCGGGCGGGCGCGGAATCATGGCGACGTCGACCGCGGCAGACGCGATGATGATAGTAGCAATGCTGTTGACGATGATGATGATGATGATGATGATGATGATGATGATGATGATGCTGATGATGACGGCAGGGTTGATGACGGTGCTGATGCTGGTCGCGACGAAGACGATGATGTTGTGCACGTGTCGGTGATGAAGGTTTTGGAAAGATTCGACATGCGCGCGCGGGCGACGGGCGCGTGCCCCCCCGGGCTCGTGCGCGAGGGCGCTTGGATGATTGCGACATGCGCGTGGGGGGTCCTTTTGGTCGAATTTAAATTACTTCTTGATGCCCATGGTGTTGTGAAAACTTCGCAATATCAAGCGCGCAGATTCTTTCGATCGGAGAAACAACGCCTGTTGCAAAACAGTGTTGTCGATTTAAGAGTAATGTTTGCGGGGTGGTCAATTTTGAATTCCTCACGGATGCTACGGTCGGTTTTTTGGGGATGTTTGGCATGCGCGCGCGACGACGCGCCCGTGTGGACGTCGTCGCATTTTTTGCAGGGGTTCTTGCATATCGATGGTCTTTGATGAGCGAGTGAGCGCGCCTAGTTTTACTTGCAATTGGTGGTGGTGGTGGTGGGGGGGCGTTTCGGCTGCAATGGTATGATTCGTAGTAAGAGCGAACGATGGGGCAAAACCGCATGTAACTTGCAATGCGTAAGGCTGGCGTGGTAATCCCGAGGGGGGGGGGGACGGGGCGGTATTTCAGAATTTTCTATATTCAGAGGAGAGGCCATGCGGTGCAATTTGCCGCGCCCAATTTGAAGTTGTCAGCTCCAGTAATCTCGCGCAATCATACCACCCACCCACGTGCAACTTGGTCCAATGCGGCGGCGATTGCGATGACTGCTCGGCGCTGGCTGTCACATCGCTGCGGGTACGCTAGCGCGACCAGGCTCGCGCGCAAACGGCCAGCTCGCTCTGGCGCGACCGCCGCGGCCGCGGAAACGCTGACCGCTGGGACTTCGTAGCGCGTTTCGCAGGCCGCGTTGACGCGCGGTCATTTCAGTGCGGGTCGGTGCCTCGGGCGGGCGCGGTATCGTGGTGACGTCGACAACGGTAGACGCAAATATGATAGTAGCGATGGTGGTGATGACGATGACACTGACGACGGCAAGGCCAGTTGACGGCGCCGGTGCTGATCACGCGGACGTCGATGATGCTGTCCACGTAACGGTGATGATTTTGGAAAGATTTCGACATGCGTGCGCGGCCGGGGCGCGAGTTGCTTGCATGGTGTGATTTGACAGGGATTGTACTTTCCCCAGCACGTGCGCAAGGGCTGTTTGATGATTTCGACATGCGCGCGAGGGGCCCTTTTGGTCGAAATCGATCGACATGTTGGGACACATTTTTTCTTTCGAAAAACGCGCCACAGCGCGCGCGCACGGTCCAGACATTGCAACAGCAGTTGGATGCATATAGCTATTCCTGTATCTTTATTGCCCAGGCCACCCCTCCCCCACCCACCCCGTTAGATTGGTCCCCCCCCCACGGGAAGCCCCGGACGCCCTTTCGGACGTTTCGGAGGCCACCTGGTCGCCCTTCGAAAAGGTCCGCTAGCCCTTCCAGGCCTCCCAGGGCGCCTTGCAAGGCCTTGCGAGCAGACTCATGGCGATCAGAACGGCCATCGGGAAGGTGCACGAGAGACCCAAGACAGCACAAGAGTGCTCCAAGAGGAACCTCGATGGTCTGAAAACGGCCGAAGAGGCTCCCAAGACGCCCTAAGAGGGCGTTGAGGGAGCTCCGAAGAAGCGCCGTTCGTCCCATTCCCTTGGATGGGTCCCCGAGATCTCCCCAAGACGGTCCAAGAGGCCCCCCAAAGGGTTTGAACCCCAAGATTGCCCCAAAGAGCCCCGAGATTGGCTACAAAAAGTTCAAGATGCCCCCAGAAGGCCCCCAAGAGAGACCCACGAGAGCCACGCGGGACCCCCAAGAATGCCATTGGAGGCCCCCGAAGGAGCCTTAGATGGCTTCAGAAGACCTCTGGAGGGCCTCAGTTTCCCAAGACGGCCCAAAAAGGCCCCAGGACGGTCCAAGATGGCCCCAGGACGGCCCAAAAGAGCACCAAAAACGCTCAGACGGTGTTCTTTTACGAAGTACATCGGGCTGACCCGAAGGTCCTGGGTCCACGCTGAGGCTCGAGGTTCAAATTCCTCGATCGAGACAGACAGGTCTCCCCCCCTCCTCCCCCCTTCCGCCTCAGCCCCCCTGTCATCCCTGCTCCTTTTCCGCTCCCCGTTCATGGGCAAGTGCCATCGCAACAGTATGATGCTTCGTCGTTTGCCAGCAGCTTCGCGCGTGAACAAATCATCATTCCTTCCCCACTCCTGTGCACAAGCGTGCAAGCGCATCGGGCGAACGCGGTGTCAGCAGGCGCCATGGATATCAGAAAAATGAGCTTGTCGCCCGTCCAGGCCTCGAGGACCCCCCTGCTGAATCAAACCATGATTTATTGCTTTGCAGGGGAAGCGCCCGGAACAAGGCGCATGGCGCGAAGCGCCAATGAATTCTTTCTTTCTCTCTCTCTCTCTCTCTCCATTATATATATATATATATATATATATATATATATCTAAAATACAATAGTACATATAATTAAATAAATAAGCGTGTGTAGATTCATATGTTTTGCTCTCATCCGTTGTCGGGACACTCTGTGTTGACATCCTTGCGATACCTACGCTTGTGGACGGATTTCGGCGCGCGCTCGCGACGACGCGCCCGTGTGGACTTAGCCAATCTTGTGGTAAAAGAGATTCTCGAGAACCTCTGACTTGTGATAAACGAGTGCGCGCGCATCGTAATATTTGATGTGGATGGGGGGAGGGGAGTACCCGCTTGGTTTGGATGACGTGAACGTACATAAAATGGAATGAACGAAAGGGTACAAGCGTACGTAATTTGCACATTCCCAGGGGGCGTGACAATTCCGTGTGTGGGTCCGATTTGCTAAGGCCTTACGGTGCCGCCGACGACGACCCCCACGATGGAAGAGGCATGCGGGGAGACTACGTGGAGTCGGGCAGGTGTTTGGAGAGTTTTTTCGGAGCCTTCTCGGGCTTCCTTGCGGTGCCTTGGCGGCGCCTTGGGGCCCCGTGGTGGCCTCTGGGGGGCATTTCGGGCTTGGGACTCCCCGGGGGGCATGGTATTCAGACCCGGAACTTTTCCCCGGAAATCTCCCGAGGATCTCGCCGCCCCCCCCCCGGGGATTCCATCGGTTCCCCCCCTCGGCGGGTCAGGGATCAAAGGGAAAGGGCCCCACTTCGATTCAACTGCGACGTTGCTCAATTTCGCTTAGGCTGTTTCGCTTTGGCTGGCGCGATCAAGCAGGAGTACCCGTTGAAAAAGGGGGAGCGGCGACGGCGACGACGACGACGACGACGACGATTACCAGTCTGGGACCCCCCCCAGGACCTCGCCCCCACCCCTTCCGACGGGGAGAAGATCAAAGGGAAGGGTTTTCCTTCGGCACTATAACGACATGTAGGCCGCGTGGACAATGTGTATCCGCACCCCGCCCTTTTACTGGCCCCGCGATCCCTCCTGGGACCTCCTCCAGGGCTCCCCCCCCTCTGGGCGTGAAGGCGTTTTGGACCGATAGTTTGGCGATTGGGCGCCTTTTTGGACCGTCTGGGGGGCCTCTTGGGGCGCTCCTAGGCCCCAGGGGGGATGCGTATCTGACCCCCTCCCCTACCCCCTTCGGGCCCCCCCCCGACGGGGAGGGATCAAAGGGAAGAGACTTCCCTTCGACTTGATTGCGACATTGCTAGATTTTCCTCCCGCTGACAAGCTTGGGGAGTAGGGTGCTGCGAAAGGGGACGACGGAGACGGCGACTGACGGAGACGACGAGTCGAACAGACAAGCCCCTCACACACGCCGACAGGGTCGGCGGATTCTTTTTTTAAAGGAGAATGTATGCGAGGCGGCGATGATGCGTCGACGGCGACGACGGGGCGGCGACGGAGAGCACGGAGATGCCAGACCGCCACCCAGGCTCGGGCGACGGGCGGCGACGAGGCGTCGACGGGGCGGCGACGGCGAGCACGGAGCCGCCAGACCGCCACCCAGGCCCTTTTTTTTCAGAAAAGAGGCAAGAATCCCCAAGCGCAAGCACTGTCTGGGGAACAGTGCGCGGAGATGGTGGAGCATCGTCTGGACAGAGGCACGGGAGAGGGGGGAGCCATATCTCTCTCTGACCGTCGGGCGGGAGGGTGGGGCCGATCCATGAGGGCTGGTGCGGTGGAGCCAGGGGAGGGGTGCCCGCCGAGGCACGGAGGAGCCCCGCCGCACACCCTGCCGCGGGCGCCCCGGAACGCGCACGGGGGCGCCGCGGGAGCGGCCCGCGGACCTCTTCCACACCAGGAAGGCGCGGTGGGTCATCGGGCAGCGGATGGACGACGGATCGAGGTGCTACGCCTACCTGGCCGACAGCGGCAGCTCGTCTGCCCCGGGCGACTGCGAGCGCAGCGGCGCCAGGTGGGCCACGGGCGGCAGCGACGGGCGCTGGTCGGAAGAGCCCAGCATGCGGAGCACCATGGTCCCAGCCTCGGACGACAAGTTTGTGCAGCTGAGGCTTCAGATGGAGGGCGACATGAAGAGCTATGGTCTCACAGAGTCCAAGGATCTGAAGGCCCTGTGGAAAAAGATGGACAGGGACGGCAACAGCGAGATAGAGATCTCCGAGGTAGAAGATCTGACGCAGGAGTTGGTGAAGTCTGGGATTTGGCCTAAATGGATGAGCTACAAGGATGCCTTGGAGCAAAAAACATGGGAGCGGGGGTGATGGGGATGTGGATGAGCTACAAGGATGCCTTGGAGCAGGCCTTCGAGACCACGCTGGAGGAGAGTGACCATGGCGACCACAGCGTGCACCAGGAAGAGTTCCACAACCTCCTTCTCAACATGTTCTGGTTCTGCAAGCTCCACGAGGTCTTCCAGGATATCGACAGCTCTGGAGATGGCCTCGTCAGCCTGGAGGAATTTCAGGAGGGCATGGCCCGCCTGGGGATGCAGCCAGATGGGAACATCCAGAAGGATTTCAGGGAGCTCGATAGGGACGGTGGTGGGACTGCCGATTTCAAGGAGTTCTGCAGCTGGGTCCGGATGAAAGTCACACCGGAGCATAACCACGCTTTTGACACAGACAAGCAGAGTGCCGCGAAGATAACCAGCAAGCAACCCGCTGAGGCCACGGCTGGGGTTGTCGCCAGGAAGAAATCATTCGCAGACTTTGACGCGCTGGAGAAGAAGCTTAAGGCTTTGTGCGCCGACGAGAGTGGCAAGGGATTGCAGAAGCTTTGGCAACGCCTGGACTTCAACGGCAACAATCTGGTTTCGCTTGCTGAGATTGACAAGTGGGTCGTGGAGACGTGGGCGCTGCTCAACCACAAACCAGCCCTCATGCGGGCGTTCAAGGCTACGACCGAGGCAGGTGGGAACAAGGACGAGTATGTCCACAAAAAGGATTTCAAGCGGCTGATCTTGAACTTGTTCTATTTTAATAAGCTCTGCTGGCTTTTTGACCAGGTGGACGAAGAGCACAACAGGAAGCTGGACCTCAAGGAGTTCACCTGGTGCCTCTCCATGTGCGGCGCCAAGATGTCGGAGCGCAGCGCCGCTGCCGAGTTCCAGAAGGTGGACACGAACGGCGGCGGTGAGATACTGTTCGACGAGTTCTGCAAATACTTCACCCAGAAGCACTGCCCCCACGAGCTCACGGACTTCGTGGCCGACCAGTGAGCGCCGAGACGCCGCGTGAGGAGGAGGAGAAGGAGGAGGAG